AACTGTAGTGTATCCATCAAACACTGAATCTATATTGCACTTTAGGGACCCGTGTGGATGTACAGGCACAGATGTGGTTGAAGTTCTGTTTGGATTATTTGATTTCATGCTGCACGTCACAGCGCAAGATGCAGATGAATCCTTACTGTCATATACTGTAAGTAAAGATCAAAAGGTTACATCAGGTTATCTTCTACTATGAAACAATGATGTTTGTGTGTTTCTCACCTGTAACTACACACAAATTGATAGTGACTCGCTTAATACTGTGTCCGACACAGCTACTCATCCAGCAGGTATATTTCCCAGCATCTTCTCTTCTGACATTTCCAATATATATAGACTTGTTGAAAGTCAAATTGTCTGTTGTTGCTCTTACTTCTGATTTCCCAACAGCAGTCGTTGCTTCAAAAGTCCAAAAGTTTATTTTATCAAGTTCACTTGAACATGTGTGCTGAAAACTGCTGCCAGCAACAAAGTAAACTGTCTCATTGACGTCTTTCCACGTCTCTGAAAAAAGAGAGGTAAAGGATTGTGATAATTATCTTTGGCAAATTTAAAAACCATAAGCACAGGTAGATTCTGACTTAACGGAGAAAAATATGACAGCAGGACAAACCTTTCTTCACTATGATGTCAGTGGACTTTTGGCATGTTTCTTGGCAAGTTTCACACCAGTACACACCTTCATCCTCCTCGGTAAAAGAGCTGATGAGCAAGGAATGATTGGATCCAATTCTCAATTTGGGATTGGACATTTGATGATATAGGATTCCCCTCTTATTTCGGAAGAATAACTGAACCTGCTTACTGCTATGGTCCTTCATGTAAAACCATTTGAAAGAGTCTGATCGATGGATGTAATGCTGACACGGTATCACAGCTCGACATCCCAGCGAAAAATTAAGTTGTGTTGCGACTCGCAAAATATCACGTTGCTCATTTAAATTAACAGTCACTTGAAAAATATATGAAATATTCAAAAGTCAGTTCATCAATTGTATTTTAAATACATTGTATTTAATTAAGCAATTTGAATAATGAATTTAGTTAAGTAATGATTTGATCAGATACTCACTGTTTCCTGAGAAAGTAGAGAAGTTCCAAACAAGTAAAAAGATGAAAATGAAGCCTTTCTGTTTCATATGGGAGAAATTCCTGTCCCCGCAGAAATAAAACCCAACATGAAGCATCCTGGCTGTACCATTACTGCTCATAAAAACACAGATCACAAACTCTGCCTCTCAGCAAAAGGTTTTAGATTGAGCTTAACAGCTTAAATGAGCCTGACACATCGGAAGTGGTCCAACAGCCAGTACAGAGGAAATTTAGCAAGGTTGTCACCCACACTGTTTTTCTGATGTGGTCTGGCATATGATTTGCTTCTTACATTTAGTCTGGGTGTTAAGACACAAAATGTGCATCGCAAACCAGTTTCTTTTTTAATATATAGATGCCTAATATGTTCTCACATTGAATTTTATGCTGAGATAATGTTTGTGGGGGTTGAACCAAAACTGTGATTGAGCTGTTTTGACAGTTTATCGTACGGTTAAACTCACTGGAGTTTGGACTTCATGTGCAAACAAAGCACTTGTAACCAACTTATTGACTGCCAAGTACAACAACTAACACAATTACACTTTTATTAATGAGATTAAATTCTAATGAATCATATCATAAACGCCCCAAAAGTGCTGAGCTGAGTACTTTAAAGTGTCTTAATTTGTCATAGATCATCATGCAATTAAGTATGATATGTAATCTGGAGTATTTATTCGTTTAAAAAAACATGAATATAATCTGCACAGATTATATTTAACAATATAAAGTTAGAGGCGTTGTCAAGGATTTCCTTGCTTGTTGAGTTTTTTAATCATAAAGTCAATTAAATGGATTTGATTGTGTCAATATTTCTTAAAATAAACTCAACGTATGTAGTAACAATATGAAGGAACAAATGTTTGACAGGCAAACAGAATAGCCAAAAGGAAAACCTACATTTTTGCGTGTGATGTTCACTTTACATAAGAAGAAATTATTT